TTAAATTTCTCTGTCTTAAAACAAGGTTTCCACACGGTTTTCAGCTTTTCAGAACGACATGACAACTCCACAAAACGTAGTATTATACTACGAATTACATATTAAATTTCTCTGACACAAAACATGGTTTCCACATGCTTTTCAGCTTTTCCAGAACGAAATGACAACTCCACAAAACGTAGTATAATACTGCGAATTACATATTAGACAACTCCACAAAACGTAGTATAATACTGCGAAATTACATATTAAATTTCTCTGACATGAAACAGGGTTTTCACATGGTTTTCAGGTTTTTTAGCACAACATGACAACTAAACAAACTGCATTTTCCTCATTACATGTGCATTTTTCGACATAATATTTTAAATTTCGACATGACAGCTTTAGATTTTCATTTCTCGACATAACATTTTAAATTTGTTTGGCACGAAACAGGGTTTGAACATTATGTATTTAATGACAACAACACAATTACAACAACATTTTTATTGAAACAGAATTTGAACATGAAACACAACCACAAAAGCGGGAAATCTAAAGATACATGACAGTACAACTGCTACAAACACATGACAGAGGTACCCTGAAAATACACTACTACGCTTATGACTTACAAGCCACTATTTAATCACGATTGCTTTCTATAATTCGCTCCATCCACTCGAGTTGCTCTTCCAGCTTTTTTTTCTCTTCTTCTGCCTCGTTGAGTTTGGCCTTCAACGCCTCAAGTTCATCATTGGTTCGGCGCTCCTTTACCGCTTGGTTATGACATAAACAATGAAGCTCATAAATTCTTTCTTTGTAGCGCTTTTGCTTACATGGTTCGTCCATCCAAACCTCAAAGTCACATGTAGGCTTGCCGGGTAACTCCTCGAGCTTGTTCTTACATGCCCAGTAGCGGCGTGCACCTTCTGGATACCATTTGAACAAACTGCATTTTTCTCTGCAGTAGCACCTTGGGACATAAACGTTTTGTGCAGACATTTCTTATAGAGAAACTTTGGTTATTGTTAAGCGAAGAATATAAGTACCATGCAACCGTTATTTATAGTCAAGATTTCAAACAAAAACGTAGTATAATACTGCGAATTACATAGTAAATTTCAATGACTTAAAACAGAGTTTCCACGTGCTTCTCAGCTTTTTCAGCAGGACATGTCAAATCCACAAAACGTAGTATTATACTACGAATAACATATTAAATGACCCTGACACGAAACAGGGTTTTCACATGCTTCTCAGCTTTTTCAAAATAAAGGACTAGGGGTATCCTTGATAGTTGGGTACATTGGACGAAGTTGCACCAGGATTACCACCGGCACGCCCACCACCTGAAGGACATTTACGACGGTCATGTCCAGTTTGAGAGCATATGCCACATTTACGCGCATAAACGGACTCACCAACATCCATTTGGTTCCGTATACGCGTTCTCTTTTGCACTTTCAGCTTGCGCAAATAGTCCTTGTTACATACCAACTTAAAAGGTTCCGGCGGCCAATAATGCTCAGCACCTAATGGATGCAACTTCCCACTATACGTGTCTACGTATGCTGCAACACTGTATTGCCTATCAATATAGTTTGTTGCCCCATATCCAACTTGTTGAAAGCACTTCAACGCATGTGCGCACGGCATGTGGTAGATGGTCCATTTCCCACATGAACATAACCTTCTATTTTCATTCACCGTTTGTAGATTATTCCCACGGTGTCCGTTGATAGCGGTCTTAACTTCAAAAATACCCCGTTCATGATCATACTGAAGAAATGAATGCCACTGTGCTCGCCTCCTGTACCTTTAAAATCTTGTCATGGGTATTGGCATAAATTCAACACCCCTGTCCATCAATGCCGATGCAGCTTCATGCCTTTCAACAAACCTCTCTGCACTCAGTTTGAATGTCATGCGGACCATGGCAGTGACAGGCAGTCCACGGGCAGACTTCAACAAGCCGTTGAATGACTCCGACACGTTTGTAGTCAGGGCTCCCCATCGTCTGCCGCCATCAGCATGCAATGTCCACATTTGAAGGTCATGTTGCATCAACCAAGTATAGGCTCGTAGTTCTATCTTCTGGATCGCTTCCATGCGCCTCGTGAATTTGCACTGCTGGTGCTCAGTTGCAGCCATCCACATTAAGTCATGCAACGCCTTGTCAGGAAATTTCTTCTGGAAATTGGCCTTCAGGTGCCTCACACAGTAACGGTGGTATGCATATGGTTCATGCCATTCAGGCAAGTGACGTACAGAACTTAAAATACCACCATGCCGATCAGATATTAGACAAATACCTGAACGCTGTTTGACAACGTGCTGCTTCAAGTGGTTCAAGAACTGCGTCCACGTCTCTTCACTTTCGTTGACACAAATGGCAAAAGCTAGTGGAAATATTTGTCCGTTGGCATCTACTGCAACTGCAATCAAAAGCTTAATATCATACTTTCCATAGACATGAGTACCGTCTATGGAAATTACAGGACGACAATGCACAAAACCATCAATTGCTGGTTTAAATGACCAAAATACATAGTTGAAAATATATTCCGGTCTGTCCGTGCTCCGCTCACGCCTCCATTTAACAACAGTCCCGAGGTTAAAGTGTTGCAGTGCAGCCATGTACCTGGGCAGATTTGAAAAAGACTTATCCCAGTCGCCATAAATAAGTTCAAAGGCACGTTTGCAACAGAGATATGCCTTTCTTTTGGTTATAGTACAACCATACTCCTGGTGGACGGCTGTAATACACTCTTTAATCTTGAACCTAATGGACACTTCCAAAAATAGAATCAAGACAAGGGAAATCAAGTCCACATCCAAGTTGAAGTGATTCTCATTGAATGTGTCCATTTCACATCTGTGCTCGCTAATAAATTTACCCACTTTCCACAAACCTGATTTCTTCTTTGTGGCACGCAGCATCCAGTGACAACCCATAAACCACCTACGGCATACAGCCTTGTATTTCTCCGTAGTTGACTCACTTACCGTCATCTCACGACACTCTCTTATACTGTAGATTTTTACAGCCCTAATTAGACGAGCTTTATCGGGGAAATACATGCCCTTTGTAAGAACAGCTGGTCTAGATTCATCCCACATCACTGACCGTAATTCATCATCATCCCTTGTGAGGGCATCGACGTTAGGCATGCTTGGCAAATTATCAAGGTAGGGAATATTTCGCTCATGAAATGGCACGTGGGACTCATACAATCTTGGTCTAGCGGGAGGTGGAGGAACATGCTCCCTGGTCAGCTCAGGTTCAACATTCACTTCCTCCTCCTCATCATCCCCCTCATCATGGAAGGGTGTGTCATCCCCAGACTCATCCGCATTGTCGTCGTCTATGGGCAACTGTGTGACGCCAGGAGCTTCAAGAAGCTCGTTTTCACTGCACAAAAAGAACAAATACATAAGTTACCCAATACTCAGGAAAAATACTTTAGATATCGCTATATCACTTTACTTAAAAATCGTATTGTCTTGACGTTTCATGATGGATATATCATGTTGGTGATAACTACCAGATGGACCACCGTGGTCCATTACTCCAGACCTGCCCATATTCCAACTAGGGGCGGGGTCATAACTTGTAAAATTCAAATCCGGACGATACCCCCTATAAAAAATATGAGTGTTAATACAAATCCAATTAAAACATGAAAAAAAAAATCGCTAAAACATAGTAAAATTGAAGTTTACCAGTCGTCTTGTTGATTATATAAAGTGGAAACATTATTTTGTGGCTGCTCATTCACCTGTGGTGACAAGTTTAAATCAAGGCAAGCTCTTTCATCTGCAATCTGTCCGGCAGAAGCTGCTCCAGAATAACCACCCGATGACTGGGGGTTATCCCTGCTATGCACGCCCTCATTACTAGGAAGGTCCTCCACCTTCACGTACATTTCCAATAATTTTATTACAATAAATTCCCTGTATTCGTCCGGAATCCGCAAAAAATCTCTAAGAGTTTCATTATCCTCGATGTTAAACTCAGAATAATAAGCAAACCCCTGCGGAGTCACTGAATAAGGAAATCTACCGGTTACTTTAAGGCTAATCGAACGCCTCCGCTCACTCATTTTTTTACGTAACAACGATACCAATGTATCGTACTCCATATTAAGCGGCAATTTAACATGACCCTGTGGAGGTGAGCTATACCTCACAGAGTTATTCTCCACCACAACCTCACCCCCCCAACACAGTGAAACCCTTATTTTTGGCACTTCAGACATTGTAAAAAATTGATTGATAAGGAGAAGAGAGAATAATGAACGTATGTTTGAAGTTTAAGTGTTGAATGAATTTTTATAAAATTGAAACGTCTATAAATAAGGCAAGTCCGAGCTTGGGGTGTACAATTTTTCAAAGTAATTCGCAGTATTATACTACGTTTTACGTATTTGAATTATTGTTATGTCAATAAATTATTGGTGGGGCCCATCTCAAGCGATTCGCAGTATTATACTGCGAATTGCATAAAAAAAAAGTTATTTTTTTAATATTTCGCAGTATGATACTGCGAATTGTTTTAACGGCAAAATTTCCGTTAACCCGATTCGCAGTATAAAACTGCGAAGTACTCATTAATGTAACTTTTTTTTTAAAACATTAAAAAAGTGCTTTTTGTACAAAAAATCATTAATTAAGTTTCGGACTCCATGGAGTTTCATCTAGATACCTGTAAATATTATTCTTTTCGTTCTATTTTATGTAACAAAGTTCATAGTACGGGGGTTAAATTTTTGAATATTCATTGTGTATTTTGATATAAATTCTTCAAAATTGAAAATAACTTTACATATATATTTGAATACTATATAAAAAGAATTGATAGTCAAAAAATGCATAACTCAAAATACTTATGAATTATTTAAGAAATACATGGTTAGAAAAACCCTTTTGACTCCCCAAATAAATTAATTAGCGGGAGTACTATACTATCTTTAAACCCCTCAAGTGGGTGCTATTTCTGGTCAATTGCAAGTAGACTCATATGAAGTATGGCAGGAATTTATATATATTGAAATATCAATTGAGAGAAAAAAGTTTGACTAGAAATACCAGTTCAGAGCCGCCTCCTTAATTCCAATTTCCAACCAATAAAACACGCTTAAATAAATCACCTTAGTATCATCCAGTTTCCAGGCAGATAGATAGAGAAAAAGAGAAAGAGAAAAACAAAGAAAGAAGGGAAAGGAAAATCATGTTGACGAACTTGATTAACAATGATGGAGTGAAAGGTGACATAGAAGGAGGAAACCTGCTCTATCCAGGCATCGGAAATGTCGAAAATGAGCTGCGTTGGGGTTTCATTCGCAAAGTTTACTATATCCTCGCCGCTCAGATCCTCTTAACCACCGTTGTCTCCGCCGTCACCGCCCTTTACACTCCCATTAACCAACTCCTCAGTGGCAATATCGTCCTCCTCATTCTCCTCATTTTCCTACCTCTCATATGTAAGTCACACTCTACACCTCATGAAATAGTTGACCTTGGATATAAGATTGTAATGTCAATGAAAATGGATGTGTTATATGCCAATTTAATAAGGAAGTTGCAATAGTCAATTGCTTGCAAATAGGAGGGGTACAATAGTCAATTCATTTGGGGAGTTGGTTACATGGTTAATAGTAGCCTGGCGGAGGCATAATTTTTGCTAAGGGGTTCAAGAAAGAAGAAAGTTAAAAAAAATCATAACTAGTGGAATTTGAACTGATGAAGTTATAATAGTTTTGAACCCCTTGACCGCTAAGCTCTGTTTTTGGGTTATGGCATGAGGGTTCAAAACATAATATTTAGAGGTATAAAACAGATTTTGCATAGCGAAGGGGGTTCGGGTGAACCCCTTCCGCCCCCCTAAATCCGCCCCTGGCTGTTAATTGTGAGTTTATTAGTCAGTTAGTAGCTCATCATGTGCATGATAAATGGAGTACTCTGATTAGAAAGAAGGAAAACTTGGAGTTATGGTATAATTATGTTGGTGTAAATAACGTGTATGGCTCGGTTTGGCATTTCTGCAGTTTAAGCAATTACTTGATGTACTAACAATTCGTTCTTGCATGTGCAGTGTTGTGGCCCTTGTATATCTTTCAACAAAAGCATCCATTGAATTTTGTTTTCCTTGGTCTCTTTACTGTTTCCTTGAGTTTTGGTGTTGGTGTAACCTGTGCTAATACAGATGGTCAGTAGTTTAGCTTTCTCTGTAATTGGTTTTTTAATTTGTTTGGACTTTTTCTCTACTTCAACCTCTTGGATATATAATTTGCTAATGTTTGGAAATTACAGGAAGAATTGTTCTTGAAGCCTTGATCTTGACATCAGCTGTAGTTTTATCTCTTACTGGTTACACATTTTGGGCTTCCAGAAATGGCCAGGACTTCAGCTTTTTGGGTCCATTTCTCTTTGCTAGCCTCTCTGTACTTTTCTTGGTTGGATTTATACAGGTTGGTATCCCTTTTTTTTTTCCTTACGGAAGAGAAACAAAGCAACAAAAGAAAACTAACCAGAAATCAAGCGAGGGAATGAATGAACATGATCCCCTACACGCAAAGAAATGGTCGAACGCACAAGCGCACGCCATTCAAACAAGACTCTTAACTAAAGGTCAAATTGGCTAAACCATCAGCTACCTAATTAGCCTCCCTATAGATATAAATAATAAAGACCACCGAGTTCCTACCCATGAGATGACGAATGCGGTTGACAGTATCACCATTCCGATGAGCCACAACCCCTATAGACTGCAACACATAGAACCATACTAGAATTATTAATTTTAGGTATCCTATTTCATTTGTAGCTCTGCCCTCTGATACTTTGCCCATTTGCAGATATTCTTCCCTCTTGGATCTACAGCTAGTGCTATTTACAGTGGAATCAGCGCTATAGTTTTCTGCGCGTATATTGTGTATGACACAGACAACTTGATTAAGAGGTTCACGTATGATGAGTACATCTGGGCATCTGTCAATCTTTACTTGGACATTCTGAACCTCTTTTTAGACATTTTGCAGTTGCTAAGGCAGTGAAACAACTAGGTGTGCAATATAATAAATGTGCATATTTGAAATTCTTTTATGAATATAGCTTTGATTTTCATGAATATGAATGGAAGTTGGCTATGTAGATAGATATTGCACATCTCTCTACTTACATACTCTGTAAATTGTACTCACAAATTCGTGCTTTGATCTTTTCAAGTATAGTAAGGTGGAATTTCCAGCATAAAGTTTCATTGATGTAACTGTAGTTGACTGAGAAAATGCATGGGTATTCTTGTCAGCCTCAAGAAACTCTGGAAAAGCAATAGTTTTTTTTATAACCAAAATGCAGTTCAAATGTGCTGGAAGACTTTGCGTCCTGAGCAACTAAATATTTAGGAGACTAACTAGTGTTCTTGGATCCAGGACTGCATAATATATATGCAGGGATGGATCCACGATTGAAACTTATCGGGTTTAATATATATATATATAGTGCCAAAAGTTATAAATTCAGTTGAACCTTATTGATCCAAACTAATTTGGAGTGAGCATAGTATTACATATATTTCATAGCTAGATGGGTGACATCGTTTACTAGCATTAGGATAAGATTACAAAAGATCATCTCAATCAATAAAAAGTTCGAGGAAGATTGCCAAACTAAAAAAAAGGATTATGTCAAAGTTCTTAAGGGCCCATTGAAGGATATGACATCAATAGTTGAGGTTGCTCAATTGTAGTAATAGCACAGGCTACTTACTTTTCAGCCTTGTAATTAAAAAATAACTACTTCGTGGACAGAGATTTTTACATGATATAACTAACATCTTCTACGTGTTTACAATTCAAAACTATAGTTTGAAATAATTATAATACATAGCTAATGATTGTATTTATAGCAAATTTACCATCCATATATACCCAATTTTCTGATCTCTCCCTTCTCCTCACAACCCTAAGAACCATCTTCTCTCCTAACACCTCTCTGTCATCGCCACCAGATCGTCGCCAGACCGTCTCTGCACCCAGAGGCGGATCCAGGATTCGAGCACGACGGGGACACCATTGTATGCTAATTACTAGCGATAAAATTTGGCGGGCAACTCTTTGAAAACTCAATGATTATGATGACTTATCATCCAAGTATAAATAAACAAAAGTTCTAAAGAAATAGAAATCATCGAACAAATAGAGAGATTTATTCGCAAAATAGGTGCTACAGAAAAGGAAGGTATTTGATTTAAGATTGTTTAAAACTTTAAAATTTCTAGCTTTTTCTCAGTTAAAAAAGGGATCTATGATCAAAAGGGTGTTCAAACTTAAAAAATTATCAAAAAACTTACAAAACAAATCTAGATTAAGGGCGTGCTAATAGTTAAAGAACTGAAGAAAAGTCTCAAACTCTTAATAATTAGTTGTCATTATTGAGCCAGAGTTGACGGATATCCGTACTTTGTCATACTGATTTTTGAAGAAAGTTGTGGCACAAGGATTTGTATTTTTCTACTTCTGAAGCGTGATAAATTGCTACTTGAGGCTTTTAATTTTAAGAGAGGGATTTGAAAAAGAAAAAAAGTTAAGTAAGTTGACTATTATGTGTACGGGCTAGTTGAATTAAAAGAAGTAAACTAAAAAGGAGAGGAGAAAAAGATAATGGGTTTTGAACACACGATATCCAGCAAAGGCAGAAACTTCAGCGTCCCACAAAACCGCTCCTCTAGTTCGCCTCTTTGGGAGTAGGGGCACACGAAAAATATTTAAGGGGTCACAGCTATATGCAGAGAGATATATAAGAGATACATATACATATTTTTGCCGAGGCTAACGGGGTCCCATGACTCCTCAAGCCTCAACGTAGGTCCGCCTATGTCTGCACCGCCATCATCACAAATCACCGCCGCCGGCTGACGGTCTCCAAATGGTCCCAAATTTTCACCACCTCTTGCTCATCCTTCTCTACACGAATCCACAATCCATTTCTTTCAGTTGCTCATAAAACTCCGTAGATTTAAGAAAAATCAAGGAAAATCGAAACTTTATTTCTCATATTCGTTGAGTTCTGGCCACTTTCCCCCCATGAAACATACATGAAAGGATAGATCTTAGGGGGATCTATCTTTTGATATTATTTTTATTCCAAAAATTTGATGGAAAATTTCCGCCGAGCCACCGGCGAAGCGCTAGAAAAGACATTTAATGTAGATTCAATGAATTATTGTATGTATTCTTTTTTTATGTTTAGATACAATGCGTTTTTATTTTATCATATTTTCTAATTATATTTCTCAAATCTGGCCGGTCAGATCTGGCCGGATTTGAGTGTATTTCTCTTTCTGAATGTAAATACAATATATTTTTTGTATTTTTGCTTGTATTTTATGTATTTCGAAGGAGATTTTTTCGGAAAATTCATAAATTTTTCAATTTTTGTTGTTTGAATACAGCCGCAATTGAATACAGTGTAAAAGTAGCAACGAATACAATCGAATATTCCTGTATTTTTTGAATTTTTGTTGTTGGAATACAGCCAAATTGAATGCACAGTGTAAAAGTAGCTATAAATGAATACAGTGAATTGAATACAACCAAATATCCCTGTATTTTTTAATTTTTTTAAGACAGCTGAATTGAATACAGTAAATTGATTTCAACGGAATACACCCTATGGCAAGAAATTTGTAACTACTATCCGTAATTAGCAAAATTATAGCTAGGACTTGTTAGAAGCCTCCAAACTATAACTATTTCTGTACGTTCCCCTTTCAAATTCAATAGGTGAAACTCCGTGATATTATAGGGGCTAAAAGTTGGCTATTTGTGAATTTTATCCTGCTCAATTGCATCATTTCCACTTACTATTAACTCTCAGTTTTTAACTACTACTATTATTCTTTTTGTCATGTGTAAGAATGGTTTGCATGATTTGACTTTTAAACAGATGACCTAGCCGGTTCTTGGAAAACACTACATTCTAAAAACAAAGTAGCTCACATTGGGCTTATATTGTTTATGAATTTTGGGCTTGAGGTTTTTCAGAACTATTTGGGGTGGCCTCTTTTGTCGGGGCAAGTGCACGGTTAGCCACTAATAATACATGTATTTGCTTTTAGGCCACTGTTTAAAATGTCTTTGGTCTTTAGCCACTGCTTTAATAAACTTTAACTGCCCGGACGAAAATATCCTTCTGCTCATGTCCTTAACTTTTGAACTTAACTTCAGGACTTTAGGACTACATGTCCTTAACTTTTGAACTTGGAACTCTAAGTTCAGGACTTCAGGACTACATGTCCTTAACTTTTGAACTTGTAACTCTAAGTTCAGGACTTCAGGACTATATGTCCTTAACTTTTGAACTTGGAACTCAAACTTCAGGACCAAGCGTCCTTAACTTTTGAACTTGTAAGTCAAAGTTAAGGACCTATTGTCCTTAACTTTTGATCTTGTAACTGTAAGTTAAGGACTGCATATCCTTAACTTTTGAACTTGTTAGTCTAAGTTCAGGACCAAGTGTCCTTAACTTTTGAACTTGTAAGTCAAAGTTCAGGACCAAGTGTCCTTAACTTTTGAACTTGGAATTCAAAGTTAAGGACTAAGTGTCCTTAACTTTTGGGAACTTGTAAGTCAAAGTTCAGGACCAAATGTCCTTAACTTTTGAACTTGGAACTCAAAGTTAAGGACCAAATGTCCTTAACTATTGTCCTTAACTTTTGGGCTTCTTAGCCTAAGTTCATGACCTATTGTCCTTAACTTTTGAACTTGTAACTGTAAGTTAAGGACCTATTGTCCTTAACTTTTGAACTTGTTAGTCTAAGTTCTGGACCAAGCGTCCTTAACTTTTGAAATCTTAGTTTCCATGCCAATAATTCCAAGATCTTTGGTTAACACGTAGAGACTTAGATATCTTTAATTAGAGTCAAAAAAGTGAAAACTCAAATTGATGAATTCTCGTTCAAATGGTCTAACACATTCTGTTGTGACCTTACACATTTGCCTTTTTCTTTAAATGTCAATAAAAATGACATTCTGATAGAAAGCAAAGCATCATAAAAAAAAAGGGTAAAAATGTTAACCAAAATCTTAGCTCAAGATTTAGTTGCTCAAGAACAGTATTCATCACACATGGGATTCCGTTTTCAGCCAGAGGAACGCCGCCAACAGCAGCATCAACAGACTTGTAATTTGCCTATTGCTACTGCATCTTCAAATACAATTGTCAGCTTTTTTGGATCCCCCACTTCAGTGTTTTTCGCCACAGAACGTTGCCTGGGATTGACACAACATGATAATCAAGATAATACTTCCCAACTCATGCTCAATAATAATGATCTTAACCAAGATCATACTTCCCAACTCATGATATTTCCTGGAAAGAAAACGAAATTGGAACTAGGATATCTCCCGGAAAGAAAACGAAAAACGAGTGGGTATCGAACTTGAGAGAGAAGCGAGGGTTTGGGAAGAAAAGCAATGGAAGAAAGGGTAAAAATATCTTTTCATATTAATTTTGATAGAGTAGTGGCTATTTTTGCTCAACATTACAATTACTGGATAAAAAATAAATACCACCTTAAATAGTGGCTACCCCACGCCATTTCTACTCTTTTTTCAATGTCCCTCACATCTATCCACAAATAGGCAGGTTTGAAACACCTAGAAAACGTTTCCCCGCAATTTGCCATTATAAAAAGGATCTTTACACAAATAGCTTATCGAATTAACAACTTACTCTTTTTAGCGGATATACATAGATTATATGTTAAATATACACATATTATACATGAATTATACATATATATACATTCGCCTGTTATTTTTGATTTAAGTAGTTAGGTGAGTGGCTATTTAGTTTAATTCTTTTTATAAAAGTCTTTGTTTTAAGTACACATTAAGTAGTTAAAATAACAAGAAGAGGAAGAGTTTTTTTTTTTTTTTTTAACCGATAAAATGGATAGATAGATAGCAAATATATGTAGCAATTGGAACATTGTCCCGTTCATTAGTTACATCTACCAAATTTGTGTTACAAGTAGGGGTGGCAAACGGACGGGTCGGGTCGAATATGGGTCGGGTCGAAATCGGGTGATGCAATCGGATGAATTATCCGACCCAACCCACATTAAATACGTATAAAAAACGAGTTAATTGGTGGATAATATAGATATTCATATTCTCCCAAACTTGAGGAACCCCCAATTTGAGGCTTTACAATGTAAAAGTTAAATCCAATAGTTATCGATTTTCTAAATGGATAATATGATTCTTATCAATATTTGATCCGTTGTTAAAAAGTTCATTATCCTATCCATTTTTTAACGGATAATATGGGTGGATAACTGTTTTCTTTTAACCATTTTGCCACTACTAGTTACAAGTTAGAAATTTCCCTAGCAAAAGTAGTTCCTAAAATGTCTGCACACACAACTTTGTTGACAAACACCGAAGGAATTATTAAATCTTCACATTTGGAAAAAGCTTCTTGGCAGCTCCCTCCTTAGCTAGCAAATCAACAACTTGGTTTTGCACTCTGTAGTAGTGGTTCACCACTGGATTTTTCAATTTTGTCTGACCTGCATTCAGTGGCATGAGTCTGCTTTGTTAGCTAGCTGATCATACTCCACTGCCTTGACATATGAGTTCTTAAAGGAGATAAGGTCTTTCTTATTATTGAATTGAATTGTTTGTTCTTCCTAGTTATCCAATTAATATATATGTATTTCATGTTATAATAAAATTCTAAGAAAGTATATATATACTTTTTAACATATGCTTACATATATTTTCATGCTGCACGTAATATAGTTTCATCTCACATCATTCATAAAATTGTGAAAACAATAAATACCAAATATTACTGTAATTAAACGCTAAAATTTCATAGTAAGAATTAAAAATGAAAATATTTAAAAATATTACCTAATTCACATCAGATTTTGACTAATGCTTTAATTTCTTTAATGTAAAATTAACTTGTTTCGATATTAATATATACTAGCTACAAGTATATATTTTTCCATTATGATCGATAATCTAGTAGTGCTTCCATATAAATAAAACCGGTGGAATATTGAATATGACAAGTCCGTATGTGTAGCTATAGATATTAACCAACCATTTGTTTTTTCAATTTGATGACAGCGAAAAATGAGCTGAAATCAAGCAAATTTGTTCTAGGGTTTGTTATGTTCTATAGAGAGAGAGAAAGAGAGAGTATTTCGTATCTGTGCAAAATGAAATAATATGTACAATGTGTTTTGATACAGACGTCGTTCTGCTTCTTATATCTTACCCGGCCCAGACTATACATTGTGGGCAAAGAATCATAATTAAATAAGTGGGCTTGGCCCAATACAAAATAATAAAGGTCTAACTCCTAACTAATCCGGACTAATGTCAATATTTCCAACACCCCCCTTCAAGTTGGAGGGTGATAAAACCCCCAACTTAGACAGAATGCCATGATGAGCAGCACCAGGCAAGGTTTTGGTGAGGATATCAGCCAATTTAGTAGAGGAAGAAGTGTGAAGCAATTGAATGAGGCCTTCAGCAAGCTTAGTTCTGACCAGATGACAATCCAACTCAATATGCTTAGTATGCTCATGAAAAACAAGGTTCTTGGCAATATGAATAGCAACTTGCCTATCACAAAATAGAGGAATAACAGAAGAACAAGGAACACCCAAATCCAGAAGTAACATGTGCAACCAAGTAACTTCACTGACAGCCTTACTCATGGCCCTGTATTCAACTTCAACAGAGGACATTGATACCACAGGTTGCTTCTTAGACTTCCAACCTACAAGGCTGCCTCCTAATAATACACAAAACCAGTGACAGACCTTATAGTATCCGGGCAGGCAGCCCAGTCACTATCACAAAAAGCAACAACAGAAAAATCAAAGGTATTATTAAGGAAGATACTAACGGCAGCAGTACCCTTCAAATACTTCAGCAAATGGAAACCAGCTTCCAAATGAGGCATACAAGGAGACTGCATGAATTGAGAAAGGTATTGCACAACAAAAGAGATGTCTGGCCTTGTGTGAGTAAGAAAATCGAGTTTCCCAACCAAAGACCTATACACCTCAGGCTTGGAAAGAGGCACACCCTCCTAGACTTTAAGTTTGACGGACAAGGAAAGAGGACAAACCACGGGGGGAGGGGGGGGGGGCATCAGAGCAATGAAACTCATGGAGAAGGTCATGAATGAACTTCTTTTGATGCAACAGAAAACCTGAAGCTGAGTATAACACCTCTATGCCCAAAAAATAGTTGGGATATCCCAAATCCTTAATTCTGAATTGATGGTGAAGAAAAGACTTAAGATCAGAAATTTCAGCACTATCAGTGCCAATAAAAATAATGTCGTCCACATAAACAACAAGCACCACAATAGAACCCCTAGAAACCTTTGTAAACAAGGAATAATCATTGAGAGAATGAGAATAACCTCTAGAAGATAGGGTCTGAGAAAGCTCGGCATACTATTGCTTGGAGGCTTGTCTGAGCCCATAGAGAGATTTGTGCAGCCTACAAACCAACTGCCAAAAAGTAGAAGGGGAAGAAACAGTTTAACAGGAGGAAGCTTCATAAAAACCTCCTCATCAAGGTCACCATGCAAAAATGCATTATTTACATCTAATTGAAACATAGGCCAATGTTTCTTGATAGCAACTGCAATAAGAGTCTTGACTGTGGACATCTTCACCACAGAGGAATGTGTCTCATGAAAACCAATACCTTCAATTTAAGTATCCTCCCAGACAACCAATCTAGTCTTATATCTCTCAATGCTCTCATCAGCCTTGTGCTTGATCTTATATTCCCATTTGCAACCAATGGGCTTCTTGCCTGAAGGAAGCTTAACAACAGACCAAGTGCCATTGGCTTCTAGAGCCTCAAAATCCTTGGTCATGGCTTCCTGCCACTCAAGAATACAAGCAGCCTGAGAGTAGGTGGTAGGTTTAGACAAAGGCTGAGAAGAAGAGGAAGCTGACAAGGAAGAAGGGGGGGGGGGGGGGGAGAAAGGAAGGGAAAAACATAATCCTTGAGATATCCTAGAGGATTATGAGGTCTGGAAGACCTCCTCATAGGAGAATCACCAATAGAGGAGGGAGGAGGAAGATCAAAAGAAGGTAAATGGGAAGAAGCATCAGGAGTAGAAGATGGAGAGGAAGGAGAAACAGAGGAATGAATGAAAGAAAAATCAGTAGGAAGGGAAGAAGGGGAGGTAAAGACAGAATGAATAGTGGAAGGATTGGTAGAGAAAGGAAAAATGTGTTCATGAAATTGAACATCCCTAGACACAAGACAAGTCTTGGAGACAAGATTGTACAGTTTATAACCCTTCTTAGCAAAGAGATACCCTAGAAAGACACAAGGAACATACCTAGGGTCAAATTTGTCCCTATGAATCTTAGGAACAGTAGCATAACATAAGCAGCCAAAAGTCCTAAGGCGAGCAAAGGATGGGGCAGAACCATAAAGCAATTCAAAAGGGGTTTTATTCTTTAACAGGGGAGAAGGGAATCTGTTAATGAGATATGTGGCAGTTAAAATGCAGTCCCCCCCAGAAAAAGATAGAGAGCTTAGATTGAAATAATAAAGCTCTAGCAGTCTCAAGTAAATGCCTATGCTTCCTTTCTACCACATCATTCTGTTGTGGACTATGAGGACAGGTGGTCTGATGAATGATGCCTTATCAGAAAAGAATGTGGAACGAGTGGAACTAGAACCTAGCTCAAAAGTATTATCACTTCTAACTGCTTGAACAGAAGTATGAATATGAGTTTCAACTATAGCAATAAAAGCTTTAAGTAAGTCAAAAACATTGCTTTTAGCATCCATCAAGTGAGTCCAAGTAGCTCTAGAATAGTCATCCACAATGGTAAGAGAATACTTAGCACCATGGAAGACAGGAGAGTGATAAGGACCCCAGGTATCAATGTGGATTAATTGATAAGGTGTATAGGAGTGAATGGTGCTATCAGGAAAAGGAAGTCTGGTCTGCCTAGCTAGAGGGAAATGGGACAGGGAAATGATTGTTCAGAGGAGAAAGAGGGACTGAGAACAGAAATCCCTTTCATTATAGAGAATGGTATATGACCATGTCTAAAATACCAAAAAATATCCATTTTATTAGAAACAATAGGTGCAGAATTACAAGAAGAAGCAATAGAAGTACCAAACCATTACATTCAGAAGAAGAAACAGGAAATACAAAAGCAGAACTGGAAACACATCTTCCAGGACTAATCATGGGGACTTGCAGCTTGCAGAATCCATTGTCCAGTTTACCAAGAGCCAGTGGCTTCTTCAGAGAAGGGTCCTGTAACACACACAAAGCCTTAGTAATCTGTGCAGTGCCATCAAACTGATCAACCAACTGATGAACAGAAATCAAGTTGTATTGAAAACTAGGAACATAACGGACATTGTGGAGAGTGAAATTCGGAAACAAAGTTAAGGAACCCAGAGTTTGTAACTTTAACTTTGTAACCATTAGGAGACAAGGAATAGTAAGAGGTTGAATGTTGAAAAGAAGACATTTAAGAGAGGTCATATGATCAGATGCCCCAGAATCAATAATCCAATTAGAAATACTGACTTTGGAGAATAAATCAGGCTTAATAAGGACACTATGAGTCGCTATTCTACCAGCAAAATGTACAGATGCCATGAGAGAGTGAGAAGAGTCAGAAGTAACATGAGTTTGTTGCAAAAGTTGAATCGGTTGGGAGAATTGGTCTTTTGTTAAGCCGGGAAAATCAGTAGATGAGTCAGAGTAGCCAGTCTGAATAGCACCACCAGTGGGTTGAGAAATAGATGCCTGAGATGTAGAAGAATCAAGTGTAGCATGTCCTGAAGCCTTTTTGGGACCACCACCTTTTGAGAACTTGAAATTTGGTGGATAACCATGAAGTTTATAGCATTTTTCAATGCTATGCCTAGGCTTCTTATAGTATTTGCAAGTGACTGCACTCTTCTGACTATCAAAATTCACTCTAGGAGTATAAGGATGTTCAGAAGAACCGGCATTGAAAGATGCATATTCTAAGGAGAAAGGAGATGGAGCAGACACCTGTCTCTGTTTTTCATAACTTAAGAGAATACTATATGCTGTATCAATAGAAGGAAGGAGCTTGATCATTAATATGTTGCTTCAGACTTGAACATAGGTGTCATTCAGCCTCATGAGAAACTAATAGACCTTTTGTTTTTCCTCAGACCTAATACTTCCCCCACAAGTGCACTATCATCAGAACTGGCAGAAAGAGAGGCCAATTCATCCCAAAGTTGTTTGAGTTTGTTAAAATAAGAAGGAATGTCAAGAGCACCCTGAGAAATGTGTGCTACCTCCTTCTTTAACTCAAAGACCCTAACTCCATCAGCTTTCCCATACCTGGTCTCAAGTTCCTTCCAAATATCCTTGGCAAACTCAGAGTAGACCATAGTACGAAGAATTTCCTTAGTCATAGAGTTGGCCAGCCATGCAACAACTACATTATTGCACCTCTGCCATTGACAAAGAAGAGGAAACCCCTCTGGAGGTCTCTCAGAAGTTCCATGGATGAATTTCAATTTGTTTCTGACAGATAGAGCCACTAAAATGGATCTACTCCAACTCCCATAACATGAGCCATCAAAAGGCTCGGTGACCAAAGAAGAACCTAGTAAGTCAGAGGGATGCACATATAGAGGGTGATAGGGATGTGTATAGTCATCAGGGTGAAAAGGAAGGCGACTCGCAGCACTATGGTCAATAGGAGTAGAATTGTCCGTGGAAGAGGAAGATGATGTACTCGACGGAATGGCCATCAGATAATACTCACAATTACACACAAAATTTGATAAAATTCCAGCTATAAAGCAATAAACCCTAGGGCATGCAATTGATTACAAAAAAACAGTAAAGGAAAGAATATACCACAACTCCGTGCAACCGGAAGAGTACGGCCTTGAATAGAAAAAAATACTCAACAATGCTCAAAAAAAAATCCACAAGTGACATCCCCAAATGTTGACCTCGAGCTTGATGAAGAAACACAACTGATGAACTCCAAAAAAATAATTTGAAAGAGAAAACCCGAAAATAAGCAGAAATATCAACAAAAAACTCGAAGTAATCGCCGAGAAAGCAAAAAATGATGATTCCACGAAATCTCGAAATTAGCAGAAAACTCCAGTGATACTCCTAAAGGGTACTGTCGGACGATAGAGGACAACTGGACCTACGAGATTCCGGGCTCTGATTCCATATTGACAGCAGAAAATGAGCTGAAATCAAGCAAATTTGTTCTAGGGTTTGTTATGTTCGAGAGAGAGAGAGAGAGAGAGAGAGAGAGAGAGAGAGAGAGAGAGAGAGAGAGAGAGAGAGAGTATTTCATATCTGTGCAAAATGAAATAATACAATGTGTTTTGATACATACCTCATTCTCCTCCTTATATCTGACCCGACCCAGACTATACATTGTGGGCAAAGAATCATAATCAAATAAGTGCGCTTGGCCCAATACAAAATAATAAAGGCCTAACTCCTAACTAATCCGGACTGGGGTCAATATTTTCAACACAATTATCTTCTGGTGTTTTAAAAAAAAACTAAAATAATATCAATTACTCCATTAACTAATTAGTAGGAAGTGCTTAAATACTAAAATAGTCAAAACTCTAATTAATTTTAACTATATTTAAAGCTGGTAAAGGTTGGTGATTACTGCGAAGGCGACTTTTGGAGGATATATAGTCACAAGTTGGAATGTTTATTTGTACTTCAGCCAAGTGTCCGAGTGAAGATCAGTTAGTGTATATTTTTGTATTAGATATTCGACAATATATACTTGCCCATAATTAATTATTTCTGCATGTTTAATTGTTTTCTGCACGTCCCTTTCCTTTTAGAAAGAGACAAATTAGTAAATAAAACCTTAAATGTAAGATAAAACTATAGAAATTTCTGGGAATTAAGAATGTGGCTGTACTTCCTCCAGATAACTAAATATTGGCATATTTATACATATAAATTCTTGGGGGTCATCAACTGGAATTTGCACTTAATGTCAACTTGGATTTTACCAAGTAATTTTCATTGAAAAGTTACATTTTTGTCTTAAAATTAGTACTAATATTAGTAAACTAGATCTATCTTAAAGACGAATAAATTCTTCAATCTCACGCACAGACGCCCATTTTTATTTCGTTTAAAGTTCCCTAACCTACTCGAAAAAACAAAGAAAAAAAGGTAAAACTTTTTATTTGTTGAATTCTAGTGGAGCATAGCTATATGCTCGCATCCTCCAAAAATTCTATCATGGATCCTCCAAAAATATATTTTTAAAGGATTCGACACACCCGACGGCATGCTTGGAGTTTCCTAGCAACTTATGACACCTATCATTTGAGTACTAATTAATGTACGAACTGCGTAATTTTGGACAATTTAGAAAATGAGAAAACAACTTCTAAGAGGACATACAATGGCTCGAGGGCAGGTAGGTAGAAGATGCTAATGTAATTAGTGTACTAAACCCTCATTATTTTATAATTGTAGGATAAAGGACTTTATCCCCGATAGAACAACAATTTTGTATGTAAATTGCATGTCAATGTCATTGTCTATACGACTAATTAATTCTTCATTAACATAAGCCTGACCTTTAAACTCACATTATTTAAAAACTTACAAATTTAAAATTTAGCCAA